GATTTTAAAACTATCCAATTCCTTTTAACAAAATAATCAAATTTAAAATGATAACTAAAATTGAAGTCTAGGTGTAGAAAAATAAGGATTCACCTCTAATAACAAGTTAAAATGACACATATTGACAATCTATTATTTGTCCATGGCTTTATCATCTGATGTGGTCAATCAATAAGATACACTATCATCATACTTACTCTTCAAGGATAATTGGGAGATACGTTTTGCTATTCCTGACTTAGATCTTATCGTCATGGCTCCCTACTTGCCCATGGCCAAGGGTGAACAATTAAGAAAGTCATGTCTTAACACTGTCAGCCTCAACCTGACCTTATAAACTCACAGGGGAAAAGTTTAATGAAAAATAAGCCGTCCTCAGACCAGGGTGCCCCATACAGATTTTGGTGGTTCACAACCTGAAGATGAAGCATAGTTTGTGCACCTGAAGAGCAAGAAATTGAAGGAGGCTTATCAGCAACTACACCTCACAGTATACCAAAAGAGAGGCTGCAAGAATAAATAACAGTAATAGTAGTAGCTGTTTTTGTTTAGGAAGCAGTTGCAATTCTGGAGGCAAGGGGAAGATGGCACTTGTCTGCCCCTTGCAGTTAGATGGGGTCATGTGACTGGCTTTGGCCAATTAAGTGCAAGTGGAAGTCATTTGCTGCTTCTGATTGGAAGTTGATGAGCCAGTACTTGGTTAAGGCTGGCTCCTCTTTCCTTCCTCTTGACAACTAGAGACCTATCAGCTGGTGGCTAAGTCCTCAGTGCATCCATGATGGACATGTGCTGTAAGTAAACATAAATCGAGGTCTTTTTCAGCCACTAAGATCGGGGGAGTGTTTATCACTGCAGGTAACCCCATACCTCTTGACTATTGCAATGACTGAGTCACATTTGGCTCCTAATATGAGCACCATTGTTAAGTCTTCAATGAAAGTTACTCCTCATTCTCTTGGCAACCTGGAGCAAAGGCAATTGTCTTCCCTATAATTTTCTCCAAGGAGAAAAATCTGGAGACAGAAGCACGGGGGAACAGTGTTGTGTTCATACTCTGACCTGTGGATTCCACAGGTGCTTTCATGATCTTTCATGATCTCCAGTTGTTTCTTGAATTAATAAATGGGAACTGAATTGCCATTGGGTGTCTATTAAGTGTCGGGGCCTCTGCTTTAGGTGCTGGAAATATAATAGTGAACAGACAGGTGATAGCTTATTTCATAGTGGAGGAGAATGAAGAAACCAGAGTAGACAATTTCAGGGGCTTCTGTTTTGTTTTTGTTTATTTTTGTGGTACTAGTGATTGAACCCAGGGCTTTGCATGGAGCCACATCCCCAGCCCTATTTTAATTTTGAGATAAGGTCTCACTGAGTCACTAAGGTGCCCATACTGGGCTTCAACTTGTGATCCTCCTCCATCAGCCTCCCAGAGCACTGGGATGGCAGGTGTGCACCACCACCCCTGGCTTCTTTCTGAGGAATATAAAACCCAGTGTGATAGAAGGGGAAGCCACACCCCTGTGAGGTGAAGGGGCTGGAAAAGCCTCTGAGAAGGTGATTTTTGAGTTGAGAGGAGGAAGCTAAGAGACTTTGGAGGCGGAGGAAAGGCTAGGTCTTTCCACAGAAGCCTAGTTTTCAGCACGCAGGGGCAGCCAGCCTGGCCAGAGACCCACAGGGGTGCAGGGAGGGTAAGAGGCATCTGCCAGGCAGGCAGGACCCCTTCCTGTACGACTAGAGGATACCACGGCGACTGAGAAGCAGGGCTCTGAGTTTGCTCTGTAGGGTCCCCCTGGATGCCGCAGTATGGATGAGCTTGACCCAGTGCTACCACCGCTGCCTAGATCTACCTGGGGCAAGGACTAGGTCTGCTCCCAACTTCTATCGAATTGAGCCTGTGCCCATATATATATATATATATACACACACACACATATACCTAAAATGTACCAATTATATATATATA